TTTTTTTTTTTTTTTTTTTTTTTTTTTTTTTCCTTTTTGTCTTTTTTCGTGACCGGCAACGGATCGCAACCCTCAGTGTTGCGCCCGTACCGGGGGACCGGCTACGGGATCACAACCCTCGGTGTTGCTCCCGCACCTCGCTCAGCCAGTGAGCGGCCGGTCTGTATGTGGGATCCGAACCCTCGGCGGGAGCGCCGCTGCGCTTCCCAAGCGGCGCACTGTAGCAGTGCGCCACCGGGCCGGCCCCAGAAGAGTTTTTTTAAAAGGGAAAAATCATTTCCATAGGAGGTTAATTCAAACAAACAGGTTAGATATTGGAGTAGAAGGCAAGACATAGGTAAATTTTTAAGATCTAACAAGATAGAGACAACCTGAGCTGCTGGGTCACATACTCAGGTCTGGAGGCAGGGGACTTTTCTCCCACAAGGCGGGGCTTTCTGAGGGCAAGTCTGAGAAGCTTCATCATAGGCAGAGGAGGGGCTCAGGAAAGGCCTCCTTTTGGGAATGGGAGCCAATGTCAGAGCCAGGGTGTTCCCCAGAGTGCCCAGTCAGCCTGGCCCTGGAGCAGGATGGTGGGTCTGTGTGGGTGTGCTGGAGGAGGACGGTGGGGGGGAAGCAGAGCCAGGGCGGTGCGGGTGCAGACGGCCAAGCACACACACAAAGGCGCACAGATGCGAGCTGTGTGAATCACCCAGCAGTGAGTCAGCCCCCAGGATTCCTGTCGGGGAATGAGCGAGGCCTGGCCGAAGTCTGTCAGTCCATCTGTTGATCTGTCTGCCTCCTGCCCCTGCTGGTGTGGATGCATGTGTGTATAGGTGGGTTGTAGGAGGTGGTGAGGAAGGTGTCTGTAGTTTCCTGGGAAGACTCTGGGCAGAGGTGGTGGGAGTGTGGAAGTACCAGGGCAAGGATTTGTACATTCATTTGCGGGGAGGGAGGTGCTATGTCTTGTGTAGGGGAGCCTCCTGGAGACCGTGCCCCTGCACGTAGAGCTCTGCAGGCTGGGGCTGGGACCTCGTGCTGGGTAAGCAGGAGGGATGGCAGTCATGGCTAAGCCCACCTCCTGCCCTCTGTCAACACCTGCTGCTGCAACCTTCTCATTTCCATTCCAGGTTCTCTGTCCTGAGACCCCAGAGCACCCCTGCACCACCATGACTGGGCTGCTGAAGAGGAAATTTGACCAGCTGGACGAGGACGACTTCTCATTCTGCTCCTCCTCCAGCTGCCACTCTCCCTCCTGCTCCCGGAGCTCCTCGGTGTCCCCTGCCTGGGACTCAGAAGAGGAGGGCCCCTGGGATCAGACGCCCCTACCTGACCGTGATGTCTGTGGCCCCCAAAGTTTCACCCGTGAGTCCTCTTTCCCCTGGGAACCCCACCACATCCCTTCCTCCTCCATGAAAGATGAAATTTGGAAGACCTTGACTAAACCATTTTGGCCTCTGGAGGTTGTGTCCCCATGGCTGTATCTCCTATGCTTTGTCCACTTACCTGGCTCCCTGCCATGTCCACTCTCCATGACACAGTGGTCATTCAATGTCCACTGTCCAGAGGCACCTGGGCCCAGTTTGGTTTACTTTTGACCTTGGGGGTAATGAGGTCCAGAATGTCGCTTGCTCCTCAGAGTGGCCCCGGGGCCTTCCCGCCCTGGCCCCTCCCCTCTGTTCCAGTTTCGTTTCTCCTGCGTGAACCCTGCCCTCCTCCAAACTGAGCTGCTGGGGTTCCACACCCCACACTTCTCCACCTGCCACGGGGCCTGTCGAGCCGGTCCCTCTCCTGTTGAAGTGCTGTTCGGCTTTGCCTGAACATACTAAAAAGCGTTTTTTCCCGGTTACTTTTCAAGCTCGTGTAATTCTGATTCCAAACTGACAAAGATGGCCCTAGAGCAGTGTTTCTCAACCAACCTTATTTTGCATTATTCCTACCCCTACCCGCCAACCTCGAGGAGGCTTTTTAGACGTTTTCTTCCTAATCACCCTCACCATGTCATTTTAATACCACAGATATGCTGTTTACCTTTTTATGTACTGTATGTGTACCTGGGCATTATACGTAAAGAGTATGATTTTTAGCACACAGACTCTAACAGTACAAAAAGAAAACCTTTTAGAAGGGAATTCCCTCAGGTAGCTGGGTACAAAATTAATATATTAAGTTGAAATATATGGAATTGCCAATGATTGACCACTTTGTGGTTAACCTAATAAAAATCAATAATATATCAAAATATGTATTGAATATACCAATACATAACTTACTAATCAATATACAACCAATAACTTATAAAGGGAAGGCTTTTGTAAGCCTTTTACAAAACACAAGCTATAAAGGAAAAGATCAGTATAGTTTTGATTATATAAATCTTAAAAGTTAGTTTATAAAGCGCCATGAACAAAAATAAAAAACTAAAATATATGCACAGATAGGTTAGAGAGATGATTATCGTCTCTAACATCATATAATAAGAGCTTTTACAAATCAATAAGAAACAATAGAAAACTGCACAAAGGACCTCCAAATGGTTAATAAAGATTGGAAAGATGTTTATTCTTACTGCCTTTTGCACTAGTAAAGAGCAGTAAGTCAGCATTGACATGAGTTTGGTGTTCAGTTTTACCAGCTTCAGTCCCAGCCAGGCTGGCTCCTAAATTCAGATCCATTTCTTTTTTCTAGGTATATGTAAGGGTGGGAATAGGTGTGAGGAGAGACAGTTCGGTATGATCTCCCTGGAGGTTATGCTGTGCCTCACAGAGGAATAATCTCTGCCCCTTCCCTGCCTGCTTTCCAGCCCCATCCATCCTGAAGCGGGCTCCTCGGAAGCGCCCACGCCACGTAGTCTTTGATGGCATCACCGTCTTCTACTTTCCTCGGTGCCAGGGCTTCACCAGCGTGCCCAGCCGTGGTGGCTGTACTCTGGGCATGGCCCCTCGACACAGCGCCTGCCGCCACTTCTCCTTGGCCGAGTTTACACAGGAGCAAGCCCGGGCACGATGTGAGAAGCTCCGCCAGCACTTGAAAGAGGAAAAGCTGGAGACACTACGACGGACGGTACAGACACCCCTCTCCACTGCCCACACCCTCAGGCAGCTCCTGAGTCTTAACCTGGAGGGGAGGGGGGCATTTGGGGTGGGTGCTGATTTGCTCATTATAGGCCCATGGACCCACTGATTGGCTTGATGAGAGTCTGTTGCCTGGATTATCTGCAGACAGAGGGGAGGCATGTAGGGGTGCATGTCTGTTTGCCATAGGGACTGTGGGCATGGTGCCTGAATCTGTCTGACCTTATGGGGAGGAGGATATGGAGTTGATGTGACATTGGGACGGTATATATCTGTCTGGCTAGGGGAGGGGGTTGTCCATGACCTGGCAGATAACAAGAATAGCACATCTCTTTGCAAATGCCCCAAGGGCAGTGTTCTTTGCTGTCTTGTTGACTGTTGTATCCACAGTGCCCAGCATCAAGAAAGCTCTTGGGGAGCATTTGTTGAGTGACTGTGGGGTTTAGGCCATGCCTCTCACATCCCTTTCTCCTGTGGATGCAGCTTTCAGTAACTGGGGTACCCAAGGAAGAAGCAGACCAACCGCTTACATTGGATGCCATTGACGATGCCTCTGTGGAGGAGGACTTGGCAGTGGCCATGGCAAGTGGCCGGTTGGAAGAAGTGAACTTCCTACAGCCCTACCCAGCCCGGCGACGGCGGGCTCTGCTGCGGGCTGCCGGCGTGCGAAGGATCGATCGTGAGGAGAAGCAGGAGCTGCAGGCACTGCGCCAATCCCGGGAGGACTGTGGCTGTCGCTGCGATAGGGTCTGTGACCCCGAGACCTGCAGCTGCAGCCTGGCAGGCATCAAGTGCCAGGTGCGGTGGCTGGAGTGGGCTGGGATAGGGATCCTGAGCGTGGGGGCTTCTTTGTTCTCCATGGAATCCTCACTTGTGCCTTTATTTTCTCTGCAGATGGACCACACAGCATTCCCCTGTGGCTGCTGCAGGGAGGGCTGTGAGAACCCCAAGGGCCGTGTGGAATTTAATCAGGCGCGAGTTCAGACCCATTTCATCCACACGCTCACCCGCCTGCAGCTGGAGCAGGGGGCTGAGAGCCTTGGGGAGCTGGAGACCCCTGTGCAGGGCAGCCCACCCAGCCCTGGCGAGCAAGCCCTGGTCCCCACTTTCCCACTGGCCAAGCCCCCCATGACCAGCGAACTGGGAGACAACAGCTGCAGCAGTGACATGACCGATTCCTCCACAGCGTCTTCCTCAGCATCGGGCACTAGCGAGGCCCCCAACCACTCCAGCCACCCAGGCCTGCCTGGTTCTGGCTTCCAGCCTGGAGTGAATGATGACAGCCTGGTGCGAATCCTGAGTTTCAGTGACTCTGACCTTGGTGGGGAGGAGGAAGAAGGGGGTGTGAGGAACCTGGACAACCTCAGCTGCTTCCACCCAGCTGACATCTTTGGTACTGGTGACCCCAGTGGCCTGGCCAGCTGGACCCACAGCTGTTCTGGCTCTAGCCTCATATCATGCATCCTGGATGAAAATGCCAACCTAGATGCCAGCTGCTTCCTTAGTGGTGGCCTTGAAGGGTTGAGAGAAGGCAGCCTCCCCGGCACCTCAGTGCCGCCCAGCGTGGACGCTGGTCAGTGCAGCTCAGTGGACCTCAGTTTGTCTTCCTGCGACTCCTTTGAGCTACTCCAGTCTCTGCCAGATTATAGTCTGGGGCCTCACTACACCTCCCAGAAGGTGTCTGACAGCCTGGATGGCCTCGAGGCACCCCACTTCCCCTTGCCTGGCCTCTCTCCACCTGGGGACACCAGCACTTGCTTCTTGGAGACCCTCATGGGCTTGTCTGAGCCAGCTGCTGAAGCCCTAGCTCCCTTCATTGACAGCCAGTTTGAAGACAGTGCCCCACTGTCTCTGATGGAGCCTATGCCAGTGTGAAGACTAGGATGCCTTTTCCCAGCCTTGGGAGGCCTGTTGCTGCTTTTCTGTAATTTGGGGGCTCCCCAATATCTGTATGTAATAGTCTCCCATTGGCTGGCTCACCCACAGGTGCCGTGTGGGCATTCCTGGTTTTCATGCAATACTCTGGATTTATTTATTTATTTTTAAAACTTTTTTGTGAAGAGAGGGTGGGGGGTGGGAGAGAGCTTCCCCTTTCAGCTGCCTGCCCTGCGACACCCACACAATGCTCTTCCACCTCCAGTGTGTGCCAGGAGGAGGAGATGATGTGGCTGCCCTGGAGCTTGGCAGAAACCTTTTCGGTCTTCATATGATGTTTCTTAGCCCAAAAGCAGCGAGAGGGCTGAAATCAGTCACTTCTTAGGGCTTCTGCTACTCTGAGCTCTAGACCCTTGGGTGGTAAATCCTTTGGACTGTGAAAACTAATTTATTTCCATAATTTATTTGGAGACTGAGAGGCTTTGGCTTCTCCTCTTTGGCTGGCGAGCAGTGCTGGGGCAGGGTGGGCACAGACCATTTTGAGTCCTTTTTGCCTTGTCATCCTACACCCTGCCCTTCCTGGGCTTTGGTGTAGACCAGGTGTGGATTCAAGCCCTGTGATCTGTGTCAGCTGCCTAACTCCTGGATGGCTGAGCAGGCAGGGGCTGGGCAGGGGGAGGGGCTGGGCTGACCAGCTGTGACCAAAACTCCCTTCTGCTCCACCTGGCACCCTCTGTTTCCTGCCCTCTGCCCCATCTTCCCCCTCCCCAAAGGCCACAGTTTTTATTCCAGACCCATCTCTGTAGAATGGAGAAGCAGGAGGCCCAGAAAGGCAAGGGGCTTGCCTCGGGCAGGAAGCATGCCCCAGACTACTATCTCAGGGCTTTCTGGGCACTGCACTCCAGCCTGGCCCACCTGCCTGTATCCTGAGGCCAGTTGATGAGAGGTGGCTCCTTAGGGCTTTTATGCCCTTCATTTGCTGATGTTGAATTTTGCATCGTAATTTCTATATTGTCCTTGAGTGTCAGAACTAATTTATTCATTTTTCTGTCTGTGCCAAGAAACCCAGGCTCTGGGCCTGTCCCCTTGCCTAGGAGGCCTAGCCAGCCTGCGTGCTTATGGGAACACCTTGTACCTGAGCTTACAGGTACCAATAAAGAGGCTCTATTTTTAACAGTGTGGTCTGCATTTGTGGGATGGAAGCACAGATACACACTCAGGAGGCAGTGGGGAAGGAAGGGAGAAAGGCCCTGCAGGGCAGCAGGGACACAGTTAGGCTGTGTTGCAGGGTAGGATTAGGGGCACACAGCACATTGGGCCTTTTTCCAGGCAGGCCAGTCAACTTGGATGCAGGAAGCCACCTGAGAGGCTGGCCTGGGAGATGGAGCGGTTTTTCCTTTGGATTAACCCATTCCTCTCCAGTGGTCATCTGGGGTGGTAGTGGGGAGCAGCAGCAGGTTACTCTTCTGGGATGGGCCATCTGCTTGGGATAGGTGAGGGCACCCTCCTTCCCATGTACCCACACTGAGCTGCAGCCTGGCCCTCTGGGTAAAGTCACCCACCTGAGTGGGGACAGGGCAATGAGCTCAGCAGCTGTGGTCCCTGGGGACTGGAGCACCAATCTACAGAACCTCACTGTCTGCACCAGCCAGACCTGTCTGACCTGTCTCGGGCAGCCCAGCTGGGCTGCAGGCCAGAGGAGCAGACCGCACCCTGCTCTGGGGAGCCCCAGTCTGGGGGCCTGAGAAGTAAGGTCGACCTCTCCCTTAGGAAGGATGTAGTGCAGGAAGGGGCAACCACCAAAGAGGACTTGATTTGGTTCTCCTTGCTCCAATTCTATGCCTCTTGGTCTGTGCTGGGCTCACTCATCTTTGGCTTACTGGTAAGAGAACAGACCCAAATCCCAGCTTTTTTACTACCTAGTGAGGTGATTTATGCAAATTGCTTACACCCTTTGTGCCTGGGTTTCCTGAATTCTGTGTAAATAAAACTGCACTCCTCATAAGCTTGTTTGGTTCATATAAACAAAGCATGTAGAAGTGCCTGGAACATGCAAGCCCTGTGTACATGTTTGCAACTTCCACTTGATTTTCATGTTCCTGCCACTCTTTCTATATGTTTAATCCTTTTGTTGTTGTTGTTGTCGGTCCTGTCACCCTTTAGGTATCTGTCTCTTGCCTCTGGAAACACATGGACATGGCCACACAGCCATATCAGTGGCCACTAGAGGACTCATGGCTTGGAGTGTGGCCTATGGTGAAGTGGCATGCCCCTGTAACCAGCTTAGCCAGGGCTAGTTAGGCCTTGGGTTTCTTAGGGTAGTATACTCTAGTATATTCAGTTGTTCTGTCTCCTCTCCTTCACTGGTGCCTGGAGATCCTTTTGCAGAGATTGCTTCAGCATGCTTGATCCAAGCCTGGGTCTCTCCCAGGACTCTGAGGGTCTGACCAGCCTGGGGGTCTAGGGAGCAGCCTCATTAGCTCCATTACCCCAGCTGGATGCCCCTGCAGGCTCCCACCCTTTGGACTCAGTCCATGGCTGGACTGAGACCTGCCTATTCCCATCTAAGGCCACAGGGTCAATTTTTTTTTTTTTGCAGCTGGCTGGTGTGGGGATCCAAACCCATAATCTTGGTGTTCAGGGTCAATTCTTGGGTTTTTTTTTTTTTTTTTTTTTTTTTTTTTTGAGGTAAATGAAGACAACTTAGCTTCCACAGCAACAAAAATGTGATTAATGCACAATCCCTTTACAGCATCATTCCCCATACAGACAGATCTGCCTCTCAACAAACCTGTTCCAACAAAACTGGGTGGTAAAGCAGATCACAGGAAAAGGGACTGGGTTTTCCCACAGGAAAGATGGTAGTAACCCGGGGAAAGCATTCCAGATCACCGACTCATACCAAGAGGCCATGCACGTGATCAGCAGTATGTTATAAAACAAGGCTCAGGCCATTGAGGACAACTCATGTTCTAAAAGGGCCCCTTAACTGTTCACTGTTCCCAAACCTTAGCCCTAGACAACTTCTCTTAAAAACTCTGCCATATAAGTTAGACCCAGCCTATGGAACAGGACCCATGAATTCACGAATTTGTTGTGCTAGTTATTTTTCTCTATTATATAAATGTGATGTACAAACACCTAGTTATTAAAGTTTAAAATGTTTGCTGTATATCACTGGCAGAGAGTTGTAACATGATTTGGGAAAGAGATCTCGTCTAATTTCCTGCCACAGATGGGGACCCTGGGACCCAAAGGGACTTGGGAAGGTCACAAGGGGAGATCCAAGGATGCCTGACTCCCGGTTCAGAGTTTCTTCCCCTGAGGCCAGACTGGCCCATTATTGCCATCCTGAAAAACAGGAAGAGCGGTACTGGGAGCACAGCAAAGATGACCTCTGTCACCCTCTTGCCAGTTACAATTAACATTATTCATCTAAATAGGGACCACTGCATTTGCCCCCTTAGGCATTAAAAGTGTTTCTGGAGGATGAATTAGTTGGCCAGTGTCTTTTACAAAAGCTGACGTGGGAACTATTTTCTCTTGGAATGTATTTCCCTGTACCAGGCAAGGGTAGTCAGGTTTGTCTCAAACTGGTGAGGACCAGCAGAAGCCAGCTGAAGACTTGAGGGGGAAACGGGTGCAGAATGTATGGACAGGGTGCGACAATGGCCTTTGCAACCTGCAGTCCCTCTTGCACAGGGTCTCAGCTATGGTGGCCCTCTGCAGCCGGTTCTCCTGTTTGGGCCCACTGCCCACAGCATGCTGGGACCACAGCCAGGGCAGACTTAGTGGGTAGTGTGGCAGGCAGTAACAGTTGCTCTTTAGCTCCAGAGTGCTGGGGACCAGACAGGACGGACAGGCATTTAGGGGCTGATACAACAATTTAAAATAGCTGTAGGGCATTTTTAAACGGCCACTCCACTGGGAGCCCCCAGAGGGAAACAAAGTGGGGCCTATTAGAAAGTACCCAGTAAGCCCAGCAGAAGCTAGGCTAGTTGATGTCTTTCTTCCCCAGAGCAAAATTACTTCTTGTGCTTTAAAAATGCCTTTAAGCTTTGGGGTGCCCCTTAGGCCAGATGAGGTGATTCAAAATAAACCACATCCAATATAGAAACGGGGCAGAATAGGTCATTTTCTGAATCCCCTCTTCACTGACACACTTCCCACCCCTCCAGGAAACTTCTGTAGGTTGATGGCCTCTCCAGGCTAGCGCCTCAGGGACCCTCGGGCCTTTTCCAAAATCTCCTCTCTGATCTTGGGGTAGTTGGGGTGCTCTGCCAGGACCTGGAAAGGAGAGAGAATGGGCGTGCACCATCAGGCAGGGGTCCCCGCCACGACACCAGGCCCTCCCTACCAATGTTGGTGGCTTACATTGTGGCAGACTTCAATGGCCTCCACAAATTTCTTGTCCTTCAAGTAGTTGAAAGCAAGTTTGAAGCCTGTCCAGGGGTAGGGAGAACACAGAGGGTGGCACCCTGATGACCTGAGACAGGTCTGGAGTTCTGGGGTCAGGGTGGGGGTCCTCGTGCCTACCTCCCTCCCACCCACCTCCTTCCCACCCCTACCCACAGGCATTTTGGCAGGCTGACTTACCAATGGCCGGGTTGGCATAGTGACTATACTTCCAAGCCAGCTCGTAGTTGGTGACTGCGTCTTTGTAGGACTGCTCTTTCTCCATGATGAAGCCCATGTACTCATAGGCCTTGCAGCAGGACTGCAGGCAAAGCGGGCCAGAGCCTCTTCGGAAGGGAAGCCACCACCGGTCCGGGCCGGGGTGGGACCCAGAGAGGACAAGGGACGGCGGTGAGCTGCATTAACCCAAACTGCTCAGGAACCACAGGCGCACCCCCACCTTGGCGAGTGGTGAACTGTGCGCCCCCCTCATGGCTGCCTCGACGCCGGCATAACCCCTGCTGCCCTCCTGTTCTGCCCCTCCCATTCACAGCACGCAAAGGCCTTTCACGGCCGGACCAAACTCCGGCATGCCACTCGACCCCACGAACTTTTCTAATTTCTCTCTGCCGTGCAGCGTTCCCTTCTCCGGGCGTGGCCCGACCTCCGTGCGCCTTCTCTTGCCTTGCCCGGTCGCCCGTGCTCCCTGTTCCTGCTCTGGTCTGTCGCCCACGTGATCCTCTCGTCCCGTTTCTTCCCCTCCTGTCCCCGAAGCCCGCACGCCCCTCCCGGCGCACCTCGAACCTCCCAGCCTGCTTTGCCTCCTCCCCTCCCAGCCTTCCCTCCCCTCCCAGCCTTCCCTCCCTCAACGTCAGTGCGCCCCCTCGCCTGGTTGTACTGCACGCAGCGCCGCAGCAGCTCCCAGGCGAGGTCGAACTTGCCGCCCTGGCAGTAGATGTCGGCCAGCAGGAGCCAGCTCTTCTCCAGATCGTCGGCCTCGGCCACCGCCCAAGGGGCCTTGGCCAGGCGCTTCAGCTGCGTGCGCGCCTTGGGGATCTGCTTCAGGAGCATGTAGGCTTGCGCCACGGCCAGCAGGGCGGGGACGCTGTCCTTCTGCACACAGGGTGGGAAGCGGGCGTCGCGTCGGCGCGCCTTGGCCCTCGGCGTCAGCCCAGCCACCTGCCCGACCCTGCCAGCTGGCGCACCTCGGCCTGCGCCATCTCGATGAAGGTGCCCAGCGCCGCCTCCACGTTAGCCTTCTCCCTGGTGGCCAGCAGGCAGAGGCTCTGCAACAGTCGCAGCTGGGTCTGGCTGAAGGCCGAGAGCGGGCAGAACTCACGCAGCAGCTTCTCGGCAGTGCGCACACCGTGCTGCTCCGACTCCTTCCTGTCGGTGGAGCTGCGGGCGTCGGACGCAGGCCGCCAGCCTACCCGCTTGGTCCCCACCTGGCTTCCACCCAGAGGCCGCGGGCTCTCTCTGCCTTCCCCAGGGTCCCGCCCCTGTCCCCGCGGACCCTTACTTGCTCTCAGCCGCCAGGCTCTCGAAAGCCTCTCCACCCACAATCTCGTTGTCTGGGTTCAGGCAGATCTGCACCATGTAGTAGGTGGCACTCTGGCCCCAGGTGCTGTCCTTGCGCGCTTTATTTAGGAACTTCAAGGCTTCCTTGGGCTGCCCCATGTGCCTGTAATGGAGGGAACACCAAGAATCAGTCAGGGAAACTGAGGCCAAGAGAGTGCAGAGATACACAGGGGCGTCTCTATGAGTGTGCACAGAGCAGGG